AAGATATAACCTTGATAAACATATATGCACCCAATATAGGAGCACCAAAATATATTAAAAATCTTCTGGAGGACTTCCAAGGAGAAATCCACAGCAATACAATCATAGCAGGGGACTTCAACACCCCGTTGACAGCACTGAATAGATCCTCTAGACAAAAAATTAGCAAGGAAACAGAGACTCTAAATGAAGCACTAGACCAAATGGATTTAATAGATATCTACAGAGAATTACACACCAAAACTACAGAATACACATTCTTCTCAAGTGCACATGGGACCTTCTCAAAGATAGACCACATGATAGGACACAAACTAAATCTCTACAAGTTCAAGAAGATTGAAATCATATCAAGCATCTTCTCAGATCACAATGGCATGAAACTAGAAATCAGTTGCAATAAGAACATGCAAAGATATTTGAACACATGGAGGTTAAATAGCATGTTATTAAACAATGAATGGGTTACCGAGGAAATCAAGGAAGAAATTAAAAACTTCCTGGAAACCAATGAAAATGAAGACACAACACAAAATTTATAGTATACAGCAAAAGCAGTTCTGAGAGGGAAGTTCATAGTACTACAGGCCTACCTCAAAAAAGAAGAAAAATCTCTAATAGGCTATCTAACCTCACAACTTAAAGAACTAGAGAGCAAACAAAAAAAAAACCCAGAGCAAATAGAAGGAAGGAAATAGTAAAGATCAGAGCAGAAATATGTGACATAGAGAACAAAAAAAAAATAATAATAATAATTCAAAGGATCAAGGAAACAAAGAGCTGGTTTTCCAAAAGATAAACAAGATCGATGTACCCTTAGCTAGACTCACCAAGAAACAGAGAGATAACCCAAATACCCAAAATCTGAAATGAAAGAGGAGAAGTAACAACTGACACCACAGAAATACAAAAGATCGTTAACAGCTACTACGAACAATTATATGGCAACAAATTTGACAATCTAAGCAAAATGGACAAATTTCTAGAAACACACAGTCTCCCAAAACTGGACCGGGAAGAGATTGAAAACTTGAACAGACCAATAACAACTAAGGAAATTGAAGAGGTAATCAAGAGTTTCCCAGCAAACAAAAACCCAGGCCCAGATGGCTTCACGGGGGAGTTTTACCGAACATTCAAAAAAGAACTAACACCCATTCTCCTCAAACTATTCCAAAATATTTAAGAAGAAGGAAGACCTCCAAACTCGTTCTATGAGACCAACATAATTCTAATTCCAAAACCAGAAAAAGACACTACAAAGAAAGAAAACTACAGGCCAATATCCCTCATGAACATAGATGCCAAAATCCTGAACAAAATACTAGCAAATCGGATCCAGCGATACATCAATAAAATTATTCACCATGACCAGCTGGGATTCATTCCATAGATGCAAGGCTGGTACAATATTCGCAAATCAATAAATGTGATACACCACATAAACAAAATGAAGAATAAAAACTACATGATCATATCAATAGATGCTGAAAAAGCATTTGACAAAATCCAGCATCCATTTCTGATAAAAACGCTCAGCAATAGAGGGATCATATCTCGACATAATAAAGGCCATATATGAAAGACCTACAGCCAACATCATACTCACTGGGCAGAAACTAAAAACATTTCCATTAAGAACTGGAACAAGACATGGATGTCCACTTTCGCCACTCTTATTTAACATAGTACTGGAAGTCTTAGCCACAGCAATCAGACATGAGGAAAAAATAAAAGGAATCCAAATTGGAAAGGAGGAAGTGAAACTGTCATTATTTGCAGATGACATGATATTATACATAGAAAACCCTAAAGACTCCATCAAAAATCTACAAGACTTAATAAATGAATATGGAAAAGTAGCAGAATACAAAATTAAGAAATCGACGGCATTCTTATACACCAATGATGAACTCACAGAGAAACTGAAAAAACAATTTCATTTACCATCGTGGCAAAAAAATTAAGTTACCTAGGAATATACTTAACCAGAGAAGTAAAGGACCTATTTGCAGAAAACTACAGGACATTGAAAAAAACAATAGAGGAAGATATAAAAAAGTGGAAGCACATACCTTGTTCATGGATTGGAAGAATTAACATCATTAAAATGTCCCTACTACCCAAAGCAATCTACAGATTCAATGCAATCCCCATCAAAATACCAACAACATATTTCACAGAACTAGAACAAATACTTCAAAAGTTTATATGGAACCAAAAAAGTCCCCAAATATCCACAGCAATTTTGAAAAAGAAGGACAAAGTAGGTGGGATCACAATACCAGGTATCAGGTTATACTACAAAGCGACTGTAATCAAAACAGCCTGGTACTGGCACAAGAACAGCCATATAGACCAGTGGAACAGAACTCAGAACCCAGAAATGGTCCCAAGGCAATATGCTCAATTAATATTTGACAAAGGTGGCAAGAGCATACAGTGGAGTAAAGACAGCCTCTTTAATAAATGGTGTTGGGAAAATTGGACATCTACATGCAAAAAAATGAAACTAGACCATCAACTTACACCATACACAAAAATAAACTCAAAATGGATAAAAGTCTTAAATGTGAGCCGTGAATCCATAAAAATTCTAGAAGAAAATGTAGGCATCAAAATTTCGGACATCATACGCAGCAGAATTTTCACTGATACATCACCTAAGGCAACAGAAACAATGGAAAAAATGAACACATGGGACTACATCAAACTAAAAAGCTTCTGCACAGCAAAAGAAACAATCATCAAAATGGAAAGGCAACCCACTGTATGGGCGAACATCATTGCCAATGATGTATCAGATAAGGGGTTAATTTCCAATATATATATAGAGTGCTCATACAACTCAACAAAAGGAAGACAAAGAACCCAATTAAAAAATGGGCAGAGGAGCTGAATAGACACCTCTCCAAACAGGACATACACATGGCCAAGAGGCATATGAAGAAATGCTCAACATCACTAATCATCAGAGAGATGCAAATTAAAACAACAATGAGGTATCACCTCACACCTGTCAGAATGGCCACCATCAACAAATCATCAAACAACAAGTGTTGGTGAGGGTGTGGAGAAAAGGGGACTCTAGTACACTGCTGGTGGGAATGCTGACTGGTGCAGCCACCATGGAAAACAATATGGTGTTACCTCAAAAAATTAAAAATTGAACTTCCATTTGACCCAGTGATTCCACTTCTAGGAATATACCCTAAGAAGCCTGAAACACCAATCAGGAAGAATATATGTACCCCCATGTTCATAGCAGCACTATTTACAATAGCTAAGATCTGGAAACAGCCCAAGTGTCCATCAGTAGAAGCATGGATAAAATAGTTGTGGTACATATACACAGTGGAGTATTATGCAGCTGTAACAAAGAAAGATCTCTTATCATTTGAGACGACATGGATGGACCTGAAAGTATTATCCTTAGTGAAATAAGCGAAGCAGAAAAAGACAAATAGCACATGATCTCACTTATATACGGAATACAATGAATATAACAATCTGAGGAATACGGTATACCCAGAAACATGGAAGTAGGGCCCAGACTGACATCCCTCAAAAGAGTGGTTGGAGGTGTGGGAAGAGATAAACCACAGAACTTAATATGCATGTATGCATAACCAATGGACATTGACAACAAAGCCGTGGACGGGGCGGGGGTGGGTGAGGAGGAGAGGGTCAATGGGGTAAAAAAGGAGAAACATCTGTAACAAAAAAAATTAAAAATAAATAAAATAAAATAAAATAAATTTTTTTATGGTTCTTTTGTCAGTTCCACCTCATTTGTAGATCAGATGACTAATAGTGGTTAGAAGCTATGTGTCCAGTGAGTCTTTTTGTTATCCATTTTGGCTTAGATTTAGTAGTGGTTTTCATGACACCTGTGTTTGGATGGTAATCCCATTGCCAGAAATTACTACTGATTTATTGAGGAACTTCCATACTGTTTTCCGTGGTAGCTGTACCAGTTAACATTCTCACCAGCCATATATAGCAGTTTCCTTTTCTCCACAATTAGCCTTTGCTATCTCTTATCTTTTTGATAATAGACATCCTAACAGGTGTAGGATAATATATCATAGTAGTTTTGATTTGAATTTCCGTGGTGATTAATGATATTGTGCATCTACTTGTTGGCCATTTGTATATCTTCTTTGGAAAAATGTCTATTTAAATCCTCAGCCTATTTTTTAATTGGGTTATATGGTATTTGCTTTCAGGTGTCTGAGCTCCTTGTATATTTTAGATATTAACCCCTTATCGCATATGTAGTTTACAAATATTTTCTCCCATTCCATAGGTTGCCTTTTCATTCTGGTAGTGGTTTCCTTTGCTGTACAGGAGCTTTATAGTTTGATGTGGTCCCACTTGTTTATTTTTGCTTTTGTTGCCTTTGTTTTTGGTATCCAGTTCAAAAAAATCATTGTCAAGACCAATGTCAAGAGGCTTACTCCCTGTGTTTTCTAGTAGGAGTTTCATGGAATTATCAGGTCTTACATTCAATCTTAAATTCTTTTTAAGTTGATTTTTGCATGTAGTGTAGAATAGGGAGTCAATTTCAGTCTGTTGCATGTGCCTGCTCAGGTTCCCCAACATCAGAAAATGCCTTTTTTAAAACCTTCGTTTCTGACATGTTTTTTTCTTTTAGCACTTGAAAATGTTTCATTATCTTTTGGCCTTCAATTTTTCTGATTAGAAATCATCATCCATATTGTTATTCCTCTTAGTATAATGTGTCCCCCCCCCCCGATTGCTTTTAAGATTTTCTCTTTATCTTGAGTTTGATTTCAATATGTGTGATTTTCTTTGTATTTATCTTACATGATGCTTGCTGTACTTGAATAGATAGAATAATAATTTTTAATAAATTTGGGAAATTTTCACCCATTTTTTTCTTCAGATATTATTTTCTGCTCTGCTCTATTCTCTCTTCTTATGTCAGTGCTTGTGTTTGCCATAGGTCACTGAATCTCTGTTTTTTTCTTTTCTAGGTCTTCATATTGAATACTTTCTATAGAGCTATATTTATATTCTCTGATTTTAATGGTCTTCTGTTCAACCCAGTGAGTATATATTTTATTTTAGACATTGTACCTTCCAGTTTTAGAATTTTCATTTTATTTCTGTTTTTATAATTTCAATTTTGCTGTTTAGAATAGCTATATATTTCTTATGATTATATATATATTTTTAGGAGCTTATTTGTTACAGATTCTTTTTCCTCTGGTGGGCAGTAGTTAAAATCACTGCTTCTTCTCTTGCCTAGTTTGGCTCAGCAGTTAGAGTGTCGGCCCATGGACCAAAGAGTCATGAGTTTGATTCCTGTCAAGGGCATGTACCTCAGTTGTGGTTCGTCCTGGGCCCTGGTTGGGGTTGTGCTGAGACAACCAGTTGATGTGTCTCTCTCACATCAATGTTTCTCTCTCTTCCCACCAACCCACACCCTCACTCTCCCTCCCTCCCACTCTATCTGAGATAAATAGAAAAATATCCTCAGTAAGGATTTAAAAGAAAAAAGCCTGGCTGGTGCTCTCAGTGGTTGAGTGTCCACCCATGCATTAAGAGGTCACTGGTTCGATTGCTGGTCAGGGCACATGCCCAGGTTGTGGGCCTGATCCCCAATGGGGGGTGTGCAGGAGATGGTAATTGATGTTCTTTCTTACTGATGTTTCTCTCTGTCGCTCTCCCTCTCCCTCTCCCTTCTTCTCTTTCTAAAATCAATAAAGAAAAAGTATTTTTAAAAAAAATCACTGCTTCTGCCCTGGCTGGTGTGGCTCAGTTGGTTGGAGTGTTGTTTTGTAAACTGAAATGTCCCAGGTTTGATTCCTGTTCAGGGCACATATGCAGGTTACGGGTTTGCTCCCAGTTGAGGTGCATGTGGGAAGTAACCAATTGATGTTTCTCTCTCACATCGATGTTTCCCTCCCCTCTCCCTTCCTCTCTCTCTAAAATCAATAAAAACGTATCCTCGGGAGAGGATTAACAAAAAACGAAAAAAAAAAAAGGAAATCACTACTTCTTTCATCCTTCAAGCTGTTCTCTACTGTGCTATTTGGAGTCTCTCTTGTGCATCCTGGGGCTGGGGTCTAAGTGTTTCAGTAAAATTCTTTCTGCCTCTGTGGTTCCCTCCTCTCCAGGATTTTGTCCCTCTCTTTTAAGCTACTCTGTTAGCACAAAGCTCCATCCTCTGATTACTTAAGCCATAGACTGTGGCTTTATGATTGCATTTTAGTTTTTCTGTGCTGGCTAGACTGGGACGTTGTCTCAGAGGACAACCAAGTGTCCAATACATGTGTGTATTAAATGAGTGATTTTGAAGTTCTTTGAAATAGTCTAGTAAAGTCTTATAGCATTTATACTTCTCTTTAAACTTATTGCCTGAAGAATTTTCTCATTTTTCTTCTTATAATAGCTTTATTCATATGGATAAACTTATCCATAAGGTTAGTACCTATTTTTCCTCATATGTAATTTATTGTTTCAGGTCTTATATTTAGGTCTTTGATTCATTTTGAGTTAATTTTTGTACATGGGGACAAACTGTAGTCTGATTTCATTCTTTTGCATGTGGCTTTCCTGTTTTCAAAATTGCAGTTTTGAAAACTCAGCAAGTTACCAGAAAACACCGGTAGGCAGTTTAATGAACTCAGAAATAAAATCAATGTACAAAATGAGTACTTTGCCAAAGAAATTGAAACTTGGCGAAAGAATCAAATAGAAATTCTGGAGATGAAGAACTCAGTAAAAGAGATAAGGGATGAACTAGCCAGCTTAGGAAATAGAGCTGACCAGATGGAGGAAAGAATTAGTGATCTCAAAGAGAGAAATCTGGAAATGACTGCGAGGAAAGAAGAGAGAGACTGGAATATAAAGAAGTTTTTAATTTTGATTAAAACCAAGTCCGATTGCTTTCCTTTTGTTCTGTTGCTCGTGTTGGTGTATCTAAGAAGGCTTTGCCTAACCCAGAGTCTCAAAGATTTACTCCTATGTTTTCTTCAAAGAGTTTTCTAATTTTACCATCTACGTTTAGGTATATAATACACTTGAAGTAAAATTTTGTTCTATAAGGAAGGGGTCTAGTCTTTTGCATGTGGATATCAAGTTATCCCAGTACCAGTTGTTAAAAAGATTATATTTTCTTTGTTGTTCAAAGATTATTTGTCCATAAATGTAAGGGTTTATTTTTGGACTCTCAGTTCAATTTCATTAATCTATATGTCTGGCCTTATGCCAGCACCACACTTTGTAGTAAGTTTGGAAATCAGGAAATGTGAATCCTCCAACTTTGTTACTCTTTTTCAAGATTGTTCTGGCTGTTTTGAGTCCTTTCTGTTTCATAAAATTAATGGTGAGAATTTGATAGGGATTGCGTTTTGTGGATCAACTTGGGGAGTATTGCCATCTTAATATTGTCTTCCTATCCATGTCTTTCTATTTATTTATATCATCTTCAATTTATTTCAATTGTAATTTGTAATTTTCAAAACACAAGTTTTGCATTTCCTTTGTAAAACTTATTTCTGAGTATTTCATTCTTTTTAAAAAATTTTTTGTTTCTTCATTGATTTTAGAGAGGAAGGGAGAGGGAGAGAGACAGAAACATCAATGAAAGAGAACTCAATTGGCCTCCTCCTGCATGCCCCCCACTGGGCTTCTGCCCTTATGGGGAATCAAACTAGCGACCTCTTTGTGCATGGGTCGATGCTCAACTACTGAGCCACACCAGCTGGGCTGAGCATTTTATTATTTTTGATGTTATTTTATACAAATGTCTTTTGAACTTTTTGTTTGTTTGTTTGTGTATGTAATACATCTCCCCTATCCCTATATTCTATTCCTTATCTTTGTCCTGTTTTAGTTCCAATCTTCCATTGATACCACAAAACATTCAGAAAACATTTATTTGACCTCTTTCAGAAATCACGCGACATGCTTTTTAGTGTCAGTGTGTGTGACAGGCATTGGGATATAGAGTTGATTAAACATCATGTGTTTTCAAAGGGGAGACACAAGGTTTAATAAATAAGGTTTTAATACAACATATATTTGATGTAGCAGAAGCATTGTAGAAGGAAGGTTCAGAGAGACTTTGTTAGACATGGTAACATTTAAGCTTGACCTTGAAATATTGGTAAGGATCTAACAAAGTAGGAAAGACTTTCTATTTAATTGAAACAAGATAAAGGAAATCATGATACATAAAAGTATTTGGCTGTTCATAAGCGGTGAACAGACTTATATGTTAAGTGTCAGATGACCGAGGGACATGACTGAGGGTGAAGTAGGAAATGTAGAATTTGGTTTTTATAGGTTTTAATAAAATGTTAAGGATTTTTTGAGCATTGGAAACCGCTGAGCAATGAGATGTCATGGGATTTTTTCAAAATGAAGGATGCTGTTGATGAGGTTTGCATTTTGGAGAATTAACTCTAGTGTTTGCTGATGGATTGCGATGTAGATATAATAGGGGCAGAGTAATTAGAACAGCGATTTTCAACTGGTGTGCTGCTAGAATTTTTAAAACATGCAGTACCTGACTATTTAGTTGGGGGCACTGACCTCTGTTCCCTTAGATTGTCAAATAAAAAAATGACAACAGTCAACACAACAGTAGATGTCCAGTGTGAAAGAAGCAAAATTATACCTTTTATACCCTTTTTTTTTGTTGTTAAATCGGCGAAAATGTATCTTTTGGTGTGCTGCAGAATTTTAGTTTATGTGTGCCATGAAATATAAAAGGTTGAAAATTGCTGAGTTAGAAGTCTGTTTCAGTATCCAGGCAGAGAAGATGAAGGTCTTAACTAGGAGAGCAACAATAGAATTGACAGGAATAGCTGACTTTGGATTCTAAAAGAAAGTTTCTGAGTTTTCAGGGGATGCTATAGGGAAGGAGAGGGGTCAAGATAATCTCGAGTTGTCTCATTTGGTTTATTGGATGATGGTAATGTCTTTCTGGTTTTTCACTTTTTGTTGTTGTTGCTTTGCTGTTTTAATTTTATTAAATAAATTGTGCTTGTTTGATTACATCATTGGCCATGAGAATGAACTCAGTCTCCAAGGCCCTTTTTCCAGAAGATACCAAGTTTACATCACATGGCTCAAAACCCCAACCCTCTAATCATGTGGTTACTCTTTCTGATTTGGCCAGCTATTATATTGAGCTGTCATGAAAATCATGTACCTATGATATTGAGGGCTCATGAATAACAGAGACACTCCTTGGATATTTAGTCTCCCTCCAGAAACCAGGGACAAAGTACAGTCACCATCTTTATTATACAACATACTTACGTAGCTCTCTCTTCTGGCATCCCTCTCCACATTTCCAGATTCTGTGTCTAATCTCTCATTATCTTGATAGTCAATTGTAGGTGAAGTTTATAACTCCCCTTCTCTCCTCATCCTCCTTTCCTGCTCCCTAAACACACATCTGCCTGTTTGCAGCCTCTTTGCCAGTTAAATCAGTTATCAGTTCCTGCATTGAGAGGATGATATAAATCTTGTTTCTTTTGCACCTTTTGAAGGTTTCAAAAGCTCTTATTTTTGGATACATTCCTTTTCATGGGATCCGTTCTTTTAGGGATAAGAACTTTTTCCCTCTGCTGATACTAAATTGGGATCAAAGTTCACAGAACTCTCAAAGTTTTGTTTTTCTCTTACCTATTGTGTTAGTTTGCTAGGAGTGCCATCCAATAGACTGGTGACTGAAACGAGAAATTTATTTTCTCATGATTATGGAGGCTGGAAGTCCGAGATCAAGGTGTCAGCAGAGTTGTTTCCTTTTTTTTAAAAAAAAATATATATATTTTTATAGATTTTTAGAGACAGAGGAAGAGAGAGGGAGAGAGAAAGAGAAACATCTATGTGAGGGCGGAACATCGATCAACTGCCTCCTGCCAGGGATCAAGCCTGCAACCCCAACTTGTGCCCTGAGCAGGACTCAAACCAGCAACCTTTTGGTGCACTGGACGATGCTCCAATCAGCTGAGCCACACCAGCCAGGGCAGGGTTGGTTCCTTTTGAGGCCTTTCTTAGTGGCTTGTAGATGGTGGTTTTTCCATGTGTCCTCACATGGTCTGTGTGTTTCTTTGTCCTAATTTCCTCTTCTATAAGGTTACCAGTCATATTGAATTAGGTCCCATCTATACAACCTCATTTTACCTTAATCACTTCTTTAAAGCTCTAATCTTTAGCTACCGTCACATTCTGAAGTACTGGGAGTTAGGACTACAACATGATTTTTTGGGGAGGAACACAATTCAGCTTGTACACCTATTATATCTGTTTCTTTTGGATCTTTTTGTTTATCTGACTTCCATCTCTCTTTCACATATTTTCCTTGACCACATTGTTTGGTTGTCCTTGTATATTTTAGAGTTAGGCTGTGAACAGCTGATTGATTTAGTTTGTGTATGGGCTGAGTTTGTCTGTAAGAGGCTTTTCCATCAGGTGATATGACTGCAAATAGCCCTTCCCTTTCTAGGGCGGACCCTTACATGTCAGGATCTTTGGTTGTTTTATACTAGGACTCTTCAGTTTCTTTAGAGAATAATATTCTGGTTATCAAGGCAGGGTGATGTTGGGTGTGGAGGGGCTTACATATCTTGCTGACAGAGGTTTAAGTGCAGGAGTTCCTGAATTTGCTGTGCAGGTTGACACTTAATTACCCCTGTTTTACTGGTATCCCTGAGTACTGGTCCTTTTCCTTTTGGTTTCTTCAGAGACTAAACTTCTAATTCCTGCCTGACTGCAGGGTGAGGGCAGGGGCGAGGGTGTCTGCCTTCTCAATATGTAGAGAAATAGCTAACTAGAAAGTTCCTTTATTGTGTTCTGAACCTCACCCTCATGTTCTGGGGCATCTGAAGCCATGAGCACTTAAGGAGTGCTACAGGATTCATTCATGAGGTTTTATTATTTATTGGTTGCCTATATGCTAGGCACTGTGTTTTGCTAGAATTATCCTGCATAATCTTAATTGTAACCTTATGAAAGCTTCTTTAGCTCCCTTTTACCCATATGAAAACAGAGGTTTGGAACAGAATTAGTAAGTTGGAGCACCAGGACTTGAACACAGGTATATTTGACCTCAGAAACTAGACTTTTACCAGTTCACACTTCTGCCTATATGTCTACATTTTAGTTTTTTTAAAAGATGTCAATATATTGATTTGAACATATTAAAAAAGAATTGCTATACTTAGTATAGTACAAAAATAAAGTGAAATAAGTACATCTATAGGAATATAAATATGATTTAACATTTATAAATACAATTAATCAGAATACCTTCCTTAAACAATTTTGGGAGTAGAATAGTTTCTAGTGTGTGTTTGGGATTCAGGTTGTAGGCATGAAGATAAATGGTGATACTAGGTTCTGTCTGTCATGATATTGAAACTTTTTAGAATCAAAGTCTTAGTTTTCTATTATTTTTATGATATTTTCCTCACAGTACTAGCTAGAGTATTCTTAGTAAACTTAATATTCAGTAGCTGTTTGCAGACAGGCTAATGACAGCTAAAATTTTCAGAACTATATGTTTAATAATACATTTTATGTTTTGGTACTGAATATCTAGAATTCTTGTAATTTTAGTTAATGCTTATCTCAGTGGGCACTAAACCTTTTCTTCTTTCTCTTTTAACAGATTACCTCTGTAACTAGATCTCCAGTTTGCTTAAGGAAAAAAAAAGCACAATGTCACGTTCACGACAACCCCCCCTTGTGACAGGCATCTCTCCAAATGAAGGTATATCATGGACGAAGGTCACAATTAGAGGAGAAAACCTGGGGACTGGTCCAACCGACCTCATAGGTAAGGGCGAGGACTTGCTGAATGCATTTTTATGTTGGACAGTTGAGGATATATTATTTTGAAATAGTGAAGGTGATAGAAAAACATTACTGTGGTCTGTACAGAAAGATCTGAATAAAAAGGAAAGAACTATTTGATTTTTCTGTTAAAAATCATTCTATCCAATCTTGTCTACATTGTCTTTCACCAAGTCCTTCAGAAATTTTCCCATAGCTGAGATTTGCCTCCATTTTCTCAGCTTTGCTCTCTCCAGCTTAGATTGCCCAAACTAGCTATTTTTGCTTGCTTTAGTTTTTTCTTTCATTGTGTAACCATCTGTATTCCTTCTCAAGTGCTCTGTGAATTACGCCTCTTCTATTCCTTACTGCTCTTCCATTGAAATCTAAACTCCATCTCCTGGTGATGTCAGTACCACTTGGCTCTTATTCTCACTCTTCCTGAAAGAGACTCTCCCACCAGGTGACCTAATTATTATACCTGTGGATCTTATTTGTTTCCTTTCCTCGGCCACGTGGCTGCTCCATTATGGTTATGAGTATCACCACTGATCTGAAATACAGTCTCTACCTGCCAAACCTGGAGACTTACAACCAAAAGTCTCTTTAGACTAATTCTCACCCATGTTAATCTTTTTATTTAGGCTCCCCTAATATTTACTTATTTAGAGCATACTAAGTTTTAGTTGTTAGAGTCAGTTTATGTTTTTTAATCTTTTTAAGCTCAAGGACATGAATGCATCCAGTTGACACAGCATAAATATTATTAGATGTTGGTTTGCATAGTGTGTTTCTCCCCATCCTTAACCTGGAGGCCTTGTCCTCTGGTTTACTTAACCATGATGTCTGTTAGTGGTTCTTACTCCTGGCTTTTCTTAATCTCTTCTAGAACTTAAAAAAAAAAAAAAAATGCTCTGGCCCACTAAGTCTTAGTCTCTAAAGAGCCTAATAAGTTTTTTTTACTTCTTTTTTTTTTTTTTTAAATAAAAATGGGAGTTAGATATAGCCAGGAAAGAGAGCAAATTAGAAATATAATCGAATGGTCAGTTAAGATTATTTTTCTGTAAACTCTATGTACCGGTCGTTGAGACTGAGGAAGGGAGAGACTGTAGTGTATGCTACTGAATAGGTATTCTGATTTCCCAAGTACATTTATTTGGATTCAGACATTCTCTTGATTCATTTTTTAATTTGGTAAAGTACTGGAAATTATGAGTTGGAACTTTTATTTCTTGCATTATAGCTGCTAACTGACAGCAGTCTGGTTTTTGGTCATTCAGAAACCCCTTTGAAAAGAGAAAGTGAACTGAAGCTCCACACTGTGTTTAATTCCTGAATTCCCCACTTCCTAGCTAATTCTTTTTGCTAGTGTTATCTAACTATGTCTCACTTTATATTGCTTCTCTAGTTACAGTTTTTGATTCTTCAATAAATAAAACAAATTTGTTCTTATGAAGCTAGTCTTATCTAATCCTGTGTCTTGGTTTTTGATATAGCTTATTCCAGAATTTTCTTTGTCTGAAGAAAGAATCCCCAGAATGTATGGGAAGAGGCTATACATGTGGAGGTTACACCCCACATTTTAATTGGCAGTCGTTGTGAGCTCCTAAACATGGCAGTTGCTGGTCTTTGTAAATTTTAATCTTGCTTTAGCTTTAGGCAGTGCTATTTTTATTTGACTAACTGTGTATTACTTTTATAAACCTTGGTGGTTCAGCTTTCAACCTGCCTATGTATTGCCAAGAAACCTTTTTTTCCTTCTTCCTGAGGTGATTATTTTAAAAAAGAAAACTTAACCTACTAAATTGTTTAAGTGTTTTTAACTCGGATGATACCTACACTAGCCAAGCAAAACATTATAAGAACACTTTATTTGGAATTTTACGAGTTACTTAAAAAAAAGATACTATATTTTGTTTCATGAAGCAGATTTCTTAGCTTTCAGTAACTTAGCAAAAGTGTGCTTAAGAAATTAAGAAATAGATCTTATGCTCTTATTTAATTCTCATGACATTTAAAATGATCCATTTAAATCTGTGTTTAAAATTATATGGTGATTATTAACTTCTTTTAGTTAAAATGCAGAATACATATTAAATCAGAACAACACTGATAGCAGCTATGACCAAATGAATCTACTGTTGTTCTGGGCAGTATTTTTTCAACGTGTACCTATTCACGGATATCTATTCACGTTTGCTCATCTGAATGTGTTTTTAAGATTTCATGTCTCTGTGGCTGATAGGTGTTCCCATTCCTCAGTTTTAATCATAAGATAGTTCTCTAGCAGGGAACTTATTGTAGGAATGACTTTACATTAAGCCCTGACATTTGGTGTTGTGTTTTTCTTCTTTCTGAAGTGAGTTAATATTTAAAATCATAAGAACCTTTTTGATATAGTAAAATTAAAAAATGTTGCTATATATTGACCTAGAATGATATAAAAATGTCTACCATCTGTAATTAAACAGTTTGTAAATTAAAACATTTCCCATTCATTTAAAAAATACACTGATTTATGTATGCATAAAAATGATTTGAGCAAATACGCATTTGAAGGGTTTCACAGTGCTTATGTTGGAGATGGAAAGGAGTTCCAGAGATGGCTTTCAATCTCTTAAATTGTTTAAACTGTTTGTGACAAAAATTAATTATCAAGAAAGATATCTAAAACCTCCCCATTTTGAAAAAAATAATTTTGAATTATGAAGGCACTTAAAAATGTGTGAATGGTCCTCGCTTTGGCAGCACATATACTAAAATTGGAACAATACAGAGAAGATTAGCATGGCCCCTGTGCAAAGGATGACAAGCAAATTCATGAAGCGTTCCATATTTTTAATCATCTAAATGGAAATGCAACCCACTGTATGGGAGAGCATAATTCCCAATGATACATCAGATAAGGGGTTAATTTCCAATATATATATACAGAGAGAGAGTGCTTATACAACTCAACAAAAGGAAGACAGAACCCAATTAAAAAAAATGGGCAGAGGAACTAAATACACACCTCTCCAAACAGGACATACAAATGGCCAAGAGACATATAAAGAAATGCTCAACATCACTAATCATCAGAGAGATGCAAATTAAAACAACAATGAGGTATCACCTCACACCTGTCAGAATGGCCACCATCAACAAATCATCAAAGAACAAGTGTTGGTGAGGGTGTGGAGAAAGGGGACTCTAGTGCACTGCTGGTGGGAATGCAGACTGGTGCAGCCACTATGAAAAACAATATGGTGTTACCTCAAAAAATTAAAAATTGAACTTCCATTTGACCCAGTGATCCCACTTCTAGGAATATACCTTAAGAAGCCTGAAACACCAATCAGGAAGAATATATGTACCCCCATGTTCATAGCAGCACTATTTACAATAGCTAAGATCTGGAAACAACCCAAGTGTCCATCAGTAGATGAGTGGATTAAAAAGCTGTGGTACATACACACAATGGAGTACTATGCAGCTGTAAGAAAGAAAGATCTCTTATTCTTTGAGATGACATGGAGGGACCTGGAAAGTATTATGCTAAGTGAAACAAGCTAAACAGAGAAAGACAAGTATATGATCTCTTATTTGTGGAATAAAATGAACATAACAGTTTGAGTAATGGGGTAGTCCCAGAGATGTGGAAGTGGGGTACAGATCGACAATCCCCAGAAGAGGGGGTGGTGGGGGAGAGATAAACCACAGAATTATATGCATGTGTGTATGAACAATGGACATGGACAACAAAGTTAGGGACAGGGCAGGGAGGGAGGGGTAGAGGGAAACTGGGGGGGAAAGGGGAAACATCTGTAACAAAAATAAACTAATTAAAAAAAATGTGTGAATGTCATTACACATTTCACAAAACCAACAGAAAACTTAGTCCTAAAGGAACCTTTAGGAACCTTTTAAGTCCTTTATTAGTAAAACAAAATTTCATACATGAAGAAATAGTAGATGTTTTAGAGAAGTCTCTAAAATTGATTATTTTATTAAATGTCTTAAAAGTGTAGTTTTTATTCCTTTATTGTTAATATAACATTCTTACTAAATAGTGCTTTAAGTTGTAACAGAACATGAATCCCTCCCTACATTTTTTAAAACCAAATTTGACAGGTGTTCCTGGAAAAAAGAAATTCAGAATTGCCAAACTTGACTGCTGAACAGTATACACAGTTACATCAGAAGAAAAGACAGTGTGAAGTGGCTGGGGCTTTGCCACATTTTGGTTTATTTTCTCCATAAATATTTATTATATCGTTTCTCTTGGTGAATGAGAAAATAGAGAGGAAATCAGTTAGTGGACAAGCTGGCATTGTGTTCACATGGTATATCGGTCTTCTGCCTGGGGTCATGTCTTCTTGACTAAAAAGTCTTTCAGTGCCTCCCTGTTAGGTTACTACCTAAATTGTAATTTACGTGGAACCGGGGCCTGAGATACCAGGCAGGAGTTGACCTGTTTGGAGTGCCAGTTTATTGTGAAAGCAGAATGTAATGACAGTGTCATTAGGGGAACAGTAAGGCTGCATGAACTGTCTTTAGAGGAATAATGAGCAGATATGAAAAGTGAAATAGTGAGCCAGTAATTAATTCCTGAGAATATTTGCTGGATTTGCCAGATTCCAGGCAATGCCTAAAATAAATTATTTTAGTTCATTCTGTTATACCATGTATAATTGAACACTCGTAAAACTATATGCAAATTATTTTTAGGAAGAATTTTATATCAATAACTTAGAATTTTAGAATTCTATATCCTTTAGAATTTTATATTAGTAACTTAGACTTCTAATAACAATAACTTCCCTTCTAATATCCATGAAAGCAATTTAAGATTCTCATAGTCTAAGTAATTTAGAATGCCTACACATTATTATTATGGGCATTACTATCTAATTCCATTGATGTTTGAAGAAACTTAAATATAATCTAAAAGAAGTCTTAAATATTTGAGTAAAAAGATTAGATAAAAGTCATTAGAGACAGTTGTATATTTGCAAATAATATTGGGTATATTCCATAATACAAATAATATTGAACAAGGAAATGTTATTTCTATATTTATTTTTCAGTTCTTGAAAAGGCCTGGTATTACTAAGAGGAGAAAGAAGAATTGTCTTTTTATGTAATAGACATGATTAATTCTTATCATTGTTCTTTTAAATTTTGTTATTTTCAGGTTTGACAATTTGTGGACATAATTGCCTCCTGACAGCAGAATGGATGTCTGCAAGTAAAATAGTATGTCGTGTGGGACAAGCCAAAAATGACAAAGGAGACATAATTGTCACAACCAAATCAGGTGGCAAAGGAACCTCAACAGTCTCTTTCAAGCTACTCAAACCTGAAAAAATAGGTATCAATTTCCATGATGTTATTCTGAAGATGAAAATAAAAATGGGGTTGTCTTTTAAAATTTAAACCTGGTAGATTAGTCTAATATTTACCTATTATTATATCTCATTGACTTAGATTGTTTATGTTTATTTTAGCAGGAATAGCATATTGGTTAAAATTCACGTTACCTTTGGAAAGGCATCTAAGGGTGATGATCCTGACAGAACTGTCATTCTAAATCCTTTATAAAATCTGTTCATTTAACATTTTGATATGATAATTTTAGTTCCCTGCTCTTGAATACATTTCTTCTTGAATTTCATTTTTGTTTTTCTGTTATATGATTAAAATTTGAGGTGAAATATCCTCCTGATTCGACCAAATTAGCAATAATATTTTCTAAATCATATGCTCTTTTCTTTCATTTTCTCTATCCTTTCAGTTCTGGACAAAATGTTGCTTGATCTTGAGGTACCTTTAACCCTTCAAACTAAAAATAACTATTGTACCCCACAGCACTTTGCATGTTACATTTTTACACACTTAACACCGGCTTTCTCAGATTAGAGTAAGAACTTGGGTCTAAAGAGCCAGACTCTGAATAATAATCTGGTCTCTAGCACTATCTGTGGAACTTCAGTACCTACTTTCTCTGTAGGTAAAAATGGAATAATCATATTACCTACCTTATAGGATTAAATGAGTTAAAAGTTACATGTAAAGTGCTTAGCATAGCATCTCTTACACAAAGTAAGTGTTCAATAAATTAATAATTTTTTAATTTAAAATTTTCTTTTTTTAAATTAAATTTATTGGGGTGACATTAGTTAATAACATTATATAACTTCCAAGTGTGTAATATATTTGACCTTTTTTACTCTTATCAACCTCTCCCCCATACCCTGTTCCCTCAGGTAACCACCATACTGTTGTTTGTGTCTGTGAGTTTGTTTTGTTTGTTCATTTGTTGCTTTCTATTTTATTGCCTACATATGAGTAGTATTCTATTATATGTATGAACCTCATCATCTGTATTCAGTCATCCATCAAAGGACACTCTACGTTGTTTCCACATCTTGGCTATCCTGTATAATGGTGTGATGAACATAGGGATACATATATCTTCATGCATAATTTTCAAATTATTAGGGTAGATATGCAGAATAGGGATTGCTGGGTCATATGCTAGCTCTATTCTTAATTTTTTGAGGAACCTGTATACTGTTTTTCATAATGGTGACAACATGGATAGATCTTGAGAATATCATGCTAAGTGAAATAAGTCAGATAGAAAAAGTCAAGAATGATATAATTTATATGTGGGATATAAAACTGAAAGTAACAAATGAACAAACAGAATCTTACAGACACAGACAACAGGGGAGGGGGTTGGGGGGATCATAAGGGTAAAGGGGGTCAATATATGGTCATGGAAGAGGATTTGACTTTGGGTGGTAAGCATACAATGCAATATGTAGATCATTTATCATGGAATTGTACACTTGAAACTTATATAATTGTATCAACCAATGTCACCCCAATGAATTTAATTAAAAAATAATTTAACCCTGGCCGGTTTGGTTCAATGGTTAGAGTGTTGGCCTGCGAACTAAAGTGTTGCACGTTCAATTACGGTCAAGGGCACATACCTCAGTTTCGGCTCTGTCCCTGGCCCTGGTTGGGGTGGTGCGGGAGGCAGCCAGTCTATGTCTCTCTCCATCTCCCTCTCCCTCTCTCTCCCCCTCACTGCTCCTCTCTCCCCCTTTCTCCCTCTTTCCCACTCTGTCTGAAGATAAATGAAAAAATATCCTCAGGTGAGGATTTAAAAAAATATTAAAAAAAAATTCTTACTAGCACTGTATAAGGTTCCTTTTTCTCCACATCTTCTTTAACACTTGTTATCTCTTGTTTTATTGATAATAACTATTCTAACAGGTGTTAGGTTATCTCATTGTGGTTTTGACTTGCATTTCTCTATAGCTAGTGAAATTGAGCATCTTTTCAAATACCTGTTGATCATTTGTATGTCTTTTTGGGAAGAGTTCAAGTCCTCTACCCATTTTTCAATTGGAACAATTTTTTGTTGTTACTGAGTTGTATGATTTCTTTATATATTTTGGATAATAGCCTCTTATTGGAGGTATCCTTTGCAAATATTTTCTCCCATTCAGTTGGTTGCCTTTTTGTTTTGTTGATGGTTTCTTTTGTGTGCAGAAGCTTTTTAGTGTGATGTTAAGTCCCATCCATTTATTTTTGATTTTACTTCCTCTTGTCTTTGGGGTAAAATTCATAAAATCCTCTCTAAGACCAAGGTCCATAAGTTTAGAACCTATCTTTTATGTATTTTACTGTTTCAGATCTTATATTTATGTATTTGATTCATTTTGTGTTACTTTTCATGTAAAATAGCATTGCTGCATAGCAGTCTAGTTTCATTATTTTTTTTTATCCTCACCCAAGGACATATTTGTATTTATCTTCAGATAGAGCGGGAGGAAGAGAGGGAGGAAGAGACAGACAGAAACATTGATGTGAGAGAGACACGTCAACTGGTTGCCACCCACATGACTTCAACCAGGGCCGGGGACAAACGGCAACCGAGGTGCTCTTAGCGGAAACCAAACCCAGTACTCTCTGGTCCACGGGCCAGTTCTCTAACTGCTGATCCAACCCAGCCAGGGCTTTTTTTTTATTCTTACCTGAGGACATTTTTCCATTTTTTGTTCAGACAGAGTGGGAGGGGGAGAGAGAGAGAGAGAAACATCGATGTGAAAGGTACACATTGAGTGGTTGCCACCCACACGACCCAACCAGGGCCGGGGGCAAACTGCAACTGAGGTACGTGCCCTTAGCGGGAACCGGACCCAGGTCTCTCTGGACCACAGGCCGACCCTGTAACCACTGAGCCAAACTGGCCAGGGCCCAAGGATTTTTAAAAAATAATAATTTTTCCTTATTGATTTTAGAGAGAGGAAGGAAGAGAGAGAGAGAGAGATAGAAACATCAATGAGCGAGAACATTGATTGGCTGCCTCCTGCATGCCCCACACTGGGGATCAGGCCTACAACCTGGGCATGTGCCCTGACCAGGAATTGAACCCTCAACCTCTTGGTTCATGGGTTGGCACCCACCCACTGAGCCACACCAGCCGGGCTGGTTTCATTTTTTTTGCATGTTGCTTTCTAATTATCCCAGCACCATTTATTGAAGAACCTATCTTTTCTCCATTATATGCTATGTATGGCTTCTTTGTTGAAAATTTATTGCCCATACATATGGGTTTATTTCTGGGCTCTCCGTTTTGTTCCATTGGTTTTATGTATCTTAAGAAAATACCATGCTGTTTTGATTATTGCAGCTTTGTAGTATCATTTGAAATCGGAGTGTGATACATCCAACTTTGGTCTTCTTCCTCAGAATTGCTTTGGCTACTCAGGGTCTTCTGTGGTTCTATACAAATTTGGGGATTTTTTATTAGTTTTATTTCTTTAGAAAATGCCATTGGGATTTTCATGGGGATTGCATTAAATTTGTATATTGCTTTAGGTAATATGGCCATTTTAACTATGTTAATTTTTTAAATTCATGAACGTGGGATATCTTTCCATTTCTTTGTGTTGTCTTCAGTTTCTTTCAACAATGTCTAGTAGTTTTCAGGACAAAGGTCCTTCATATCCTTTGTTAAGTTTATTCCTAGATATTTTATCCTTTTTGTTGCAATTGCAAATGGAATTGTTCTCATTTTTTTTCTGAAATTTAATTTTTAGTAGATAGGAATGCAATGAATTTTTTACACTGATTCTATATCCTGCAACTTTGTACTTGTTTATTGTATCTAAAAGTTTTGGTGGCATCTTTAGGGTTTTAATTATAAAGAATTATTCGAAATAGCCAATCAGAGAAAGACAAATAACACATGATCTCACTTATTTGTGGAATATAATGAACAAAATAAGCTGATATAAATAAAATAGACCCAGAGACATAGAAAGGAGTACGGTTCAGACTGACAGACCTCATACAAGGGGGTGGGGGGAGATGGATGAGATAAACCAAAGAACTTATATACATGTAAACGTAACCAATGGACATAAACAACAATGCTGGGGTGTTGGGAGGGCGGGATGGGGAGGAGGGTGTCTTTGGGGGGAAAAGGAGAAACATCTGTAACAAAAATAAATTAATAAAAATTTGAAAAAAAAGAATTATGTCATCTGCAAAATGTGACAGTTTTACTTTTTCCTTTCCAATTTGGATGCCTTTTCTTTCTTTCTCTTACGTGATTCATCTGACTAGGTACAACTGTTATTATGTTGAATAACTGGTGAAAGTGGACATCCTTGTCTTGTTCCTGATTTAGAGGAAGGGTTTACCATATATGGTCTTTATTATGTTTAGGTAATTTCTTCTATACCCATTTTATTGAGTGTTTTATTAATAATAAATGTATATTGTTTCTTGTCAAATGCTTTCTGTATTTTTTTATTTCATCATATAATTTTTCTCACTTATTTTGTTAATAGGGTGTATAATATTCATCTGTTTGTATATGTTGAACCATCTTTGCACCCCTGGGCTCAATCCCAATTGATTGTGATGTATTATCTTTTTTTTTTTTTTAATCCTCACCTGAGGATAATTTTCCATTGATATTTAGATAGAGTGGGAGGGAGGGAGGAAAATGGAGAAACATTGATGTGAGAGAGACACATCGATTGGTTACCTCCCGCATGGATCCAACCTGTAACTGAGGTGTGTGCCCTTGACCGGGAATTGAACCTGCAACTCTTTGGTTTGCAGGCCCAATGCTCAAACCACTGAGCCAAACCAGCCAGACGTATTATCTTTTAAATGTCTTGTATTAAATTTGCTAGTAATTGTTTAGGATTTTTGCATCTATATTCATCAGAGATACTGGCCTGTAATTTTGTTTGTGTTATGTTTCTGTATCTGGTTTTGGTATCAGGGTAATGTTGGCCTCAAAAAATGAGTTAAGAAGTTTTGCCTCTTTTTTAATAT